TCTTTTTTCTGCCTTCTTTCTTTTTCTGTCTAATTTTACTTTTCTTTCTCTTTCTTTACCTTTTCTTTTCCTTTTCCTTTTTCTTTTTTCTGCCTTCTTTCTTTTTCTGTCTAATTTTACTTTTCTTTCTCTTTCTTTACCTTTTCTTTTCCTTTTCCTTTTTCTTTCTTTCTTTCTTTTTCTTTTTTCTGCCTTCTTTCTTTTTCTGTCTAATTTTACTTTTCTTTCTCTTTCTTTACCTTTTCTTTTCCTTTTCCTTTTTCTTTCTTTCTTTCTTTTTCTTTTTTCTGCCTTCTTTCTTTTTCTGTCTAATTTTACTTTTCTTTCTCTTTCTTTACCTTTTCTTTCTTTTCCTTTTTCTTTCTTTCTTTTTCTTTTTTCTGCCTTCTTTTTTTCTGGCTAATTTTACTTTTATTTCTCTTTCTTTACCTTTTCTTTCTTTTCCTTTTTCTTTCTTTCTTTTTCTTTTCATGATGACAGTGGTGAGGCCCTGCCTCCCCAGACTGCACGTCACTGTTCTTGAGATAATAATCAGAATAGAGCTGGAAGGGACCTTGGAGGTCTTCTAGTCCAACCCACTGATCAAGCAGGAGATCCTGTAACATTTCAGACAAATGAATATCCGGTCTCTTCTTAAAAACCTCCAGTGATGGAGCACCCACAACCTCTGAAGGCAAACTGTCCCACTGGTTAATTGTCCTCACTGTTAGGAAGTTTCTCCTTAATTCCAGGTTGCATCTCCTTAATTCCCTTGATTAGTTTCCATCCAATGTTTCTTGCCTTTTCTTCTGGGGCTTTGGAAAATAAGTTGAGCCCCTCTTCCTTGGGACAGCCCCTCAAATACTGGGACACTGCTATTCTGTCACCGCTAGTCCTTCTTTTCTCTAGATTAGCTATACCCAGTTCCTGCAATCTTTTTTCATGTATTTTAGACTCCAGGTGCTGAATTCCTTGCTTTCATTAGCACAAGCATTTTTTCCCTACCTATTTGTGCGAACCGGCAGAGAAAAAGGCTTTAAAAAGTGGGGGGAAGTTAGCCACACCCACCCGGTCACATGACCACCCCTACAAGCCACGCCCACAGAACCGGTGGCAAAAAACCCTTAGATTTGCCCACTGTACGGGGGTCTCCGTCTGCTCTACCTAGTTGGGCTGACAAACAAGCAACTGTCGAAGCTTCCAGACAAGCCCCCGAATAAGCCAGGGCCAAGTCTGGGGATCTGCACGGCAGTTCAGGGTGTTCCCTCAATCGAGTCACTCGGGACCCATCTGCCTCCCAAGCCCCACTTTCCAAAGTCAAGGCCTCCATAGTTGCCCAACAAGCTGAAGGGATATATGAATCAATATGAATCAATATTGGCTTCTGCTTATATTATTGTGATGAAAGAAATGTCCTTCTGGGTTCGGCTCCAAGTGCGGAAAAAGACACTGGAGACATGGAGGCTGCTTGGAATGGATCGTTTATTGTTGGACAGGGCCACATGGCTTGAGCCCTGAACAGAAAAGG